CTTGAGTGTGCAGTGACACAATCATGGCTCACTGTATCCTCTACCTCCCAGGCTAAAGTGATCCTCCTACCTCAGGTTACTGAGTAGCTGAGACTACAAAGGCACACCAGTGTGCCCAGCTAATTAAAAAAAATTTTTGTGATGGCTAGTTTTTTAATTTTTATTTTTTGTAAAGACAAGGTCTCTGTGTGTTGCCTAGGCTGATCTCAAATTCCTTGGCCTCCCAAAGTGCTGGGATTACAGGCATGAAACACCATGCCTGGCCTGCCAAAGCACTTTTAACCAAGTGTTATTTTATAGCTTTCAAATCTGTTTTGAAGAAAACATTGGAATTTTTGAAGACGTTCTGTTAGTACCACCAAGCAAAAAAATTTTATTTTAACCTAGAATCATAAATCGCATGCTGCATTTCCTAGCTCCTTTTAAGACTCTAATGATTAATCCCATCCTTATGCCCACTGTAAAACTCTTTTTGAAAGAGTTTTCAAATTGGCTGGGCATAGTGGCTCACACTTGTAATCCTAGCACTGTGTGAGGCTGAGGCAGGCGAATCACGAGGTCAGAATATCCAGACCAGCCTGGCCAAAACAGTGAAACCCCCACTCTACTGAAAATTCAAAAATTATCTGGGTGTGGTGGTGGCTGCCTGTAATCCCAGCTACTCAGGAGGCTGAGGCAGGAGACTCACTTGAACCTGGGAGGTGGAGGTTGTAGTGAGCTGAGATTGTGCCATGGATTCCAGCCTGGGCGACAGAGAGAAACTCTGTCTTAAAAAAAAAAAGAAGAGTTTTCAAATTATACTAAAATTACTGACTATTAAAAGAAGGGCAATACAGGAATATAACACAGGGTAAACTTTAACTCACACAATCAGTGAGTAGTAGTTTGTGTGCCAAGCATAGATTGTAGTAAAACAAAAAGAGAATCTCCAAGGTAAGTCTAAGTTAAAAGTTATCTTAATGTTTTCTTTCCTAGTCTTACTTTTAATTTACGTATCTTGTGTGTCTTAAACTCTTAGGGAATGGCACTTTTTATCTCAAACTCCTGGCCTTAAGCAGTCCTCTTGCCTTGACCTCCCAAAGCACTGGAATTACAGTTCGGGTTTGAGCCACTGTGATCAGCCAGCACTTTTAAAAGAATGATAAACAGAAAGGAGGAATTTCTTTAACTGCAGATTAGAGAATGATGTGTCTTTAGTCATTCTTTCAATATTTTGGAAGTGATCTTTTACATTATATAATTGTGTACTAATGGAAAATGAGCATGTATTACTTGTACAAAAATAGCTTTGGGTCAGGTGTGGTGGCTCACATCTATAAACCCAGCACTTTGGGAGACTAAGGCAGGCGGATCGCTTGAGCCCAGGAGTTCACGACCAGACTAGAAAACATGATGAAACTCTGTCTCTACAGAAAATGTAAAAATTAGCCAGGTGTGGTGGCGCATGCCTGTAGTCCCAGCTACTTGGTAGGCTGAGGTGGGAGGATTCCTTGAGCCCGGCAGGTCAAAACTGCAGTGAGCTCTGATTGTGCCATTGCACTCCAGCCTGGGTGACAAAGCAAGACTCTGTCTTAAAAAAAAAAACCAAAAAAAAAACAACAAAAAAAAACTTCAAGTGCTTTAGTGTAAATAAAAATACAAGACATGTGACCACATCCTCATACTGTTTCACTGCAAGGTAACAAGTCGATAATACTGAAAAATCAATCCTCTTAATGTGTAGTCACACTTCATAGAGTGTTGGTCTCATGTTGTGGCAATGAAGTTACACATAAATCAGGTGCTTTTCCACCTCTATTTATTGACTTCCCTTTCTCTAACTTACCTAAGATTCTTTGGTAAGTACTAAAATGACTGTCCTATTCTTATGTCATTTCTCTGTGAGTACAAACTGAGGAACACTGTCATTTAGGTTGCCCAACTGGAAGCAGAAATTACATGCCAATCTACTGTGCTTTAAATCTTTATATGGATAAGCCTTTTGTAGCTATGTAATTATAGTTAAAGCAATGGTCTCCTAAGTATAACTGAGTACTTAAAAGTGAGGTGGCTGGCCAACTCTTCAATGGATTAAGTAAAATATAATGAAATTGAACAAACTAAAAGATTAATAGAATTCCTTTCAGCATGACAAGTAGACTTCAGACTTTCTACATTACTTGACTTAAGTACTGTATCAATTTTAAGTTTTAGAGGGATATTCTAACATTTGGCTGCCTGCTACTGTGTAATACAAACCAAAATGCAGGTTTTAATCTGAGTTTAACATTTAAAATTCCCATCAGACATAACTATCTGCTTCACTGGCTTCAATAATATGCTTAATTTAACTCAGACAAAGGAGAAATCGTATTTCTTAGTCTGCCATCTCAACTCAACAATTTTTAGAAGTGCTTAATCCATGACAAATTTTATGATGGAGTGGAAATTTTTATGGCCTTGGGGGATGCCAGGCCTGAAACTTAAGGAGGAAATCTTGAAAGTTCATGTATGTTTAGTACTGCTGTAAATCTTACTTTATAATAAGTTCATACAGTCATGCACTGCAGTCATGCATTTCAAAGGAGGACCACATATATGATGGCGGTCACATAAGATTACACTGTTTTTTAAACTGTACCTTTTCTATGTTTAGATACACAAATACCATTGTTAAAATTACCTACCTGTTATGGTATTTGCACCATAACAAAACAGCTCCATATATCTCTTAGAATGCACCCCATGGGAAAAAAACACAGGAGGTCATATTCTATTATTTCCTGAGTATTTTGTAATCATTACTATCTCTAAGGTGCAACTCTAGTCCCATCTTTCAAGTGGGGTAAGTGCCACAAACAGATCCATTAATTTGCTCCCAACTCCACTGCAAATGAAGTGGGTAAACACCCAAGCCTATCCCTTGCATAGCAAGGCCATCTATAGGTACTAATTGTTTAGGACAGTAATAATGCGTAGTATATGTTGCAATCGAACTCTTGAGGGTTTTTTCCCGTCACAGCTGGGCCCTTCCCTAAGATTCACTTCCCATTAATTACCATAATCTAACTTGGAACTTGGACTCTGCAGGCTGAAGATGACTGAGGTGTTTTGTCTGATGTCTGTCTATACCGTGCTAATGACCTGGAAATTAAAGGCTTTTAAATTTATTCTCAACTCCCTGATTCATGGTCTTTCAGTCATGCAGCTAATCTGAGGTCTTAAAATTAACTGGCTCACAGTGGACTGGAAAGGGCAGCGCTGTGACTAATGCCACGCTGCTGATCTGGTTTGCCAGGAAAGGTGAGCAGAAAAAACCCACAATATTTACCGGGCGCAGTAGCTCACGCCTGTTATCCTAGCATTTTGGGAGGCCGAGGCGGTCGGATCACCTGAGGTCGGGAGTTTGAGACCAACCTGACCAACGTGGAGAAACTCCATCTCTACTAAAAATACAAAAATTAGCTGGGTGTGGTGGCATGCGCCTGTAATCCCAGCTACTCAGGAGGCTGAGGCAGGAGAATCACTTGAACCTGGGAGGCGGAGGTGGCAGTGAGCCGATATCGCGCCATTGCACTCTAGCCTGGGCACCTGACAAGAGCGAAAATCCGTCTCAAAAAAAGAAAAACACAGAATATTACCTTCTTTCTCTAGCAGGGTATATTAGAATCTGTTGGTTTTAGGACCTAATAACTTTCCCTGGCCCTAAATCACCTAACTGGCACCTTGAGTGTAATCCAATCCAAATGGTTACTTTTTCAATATTGCTTTCTTTTCCAGAAGCTTTATTCTGTGATTGTAAGTTGTAAACAAACTAAATAATTCCACTGTACATATATATCCCATTTGGTTTCTCCATTTATGGCTCTAGGCGTATTCACCTTTTGGCTCTCGTGAATAATGAATGCTATTCGAAACACGGGCGCACCAACAGCTGTTCCCATCCCTGCTTTCCATTCTTTGGGAAACGGAGAGGTGGACTGGGAGAGCAGACACGTGCTGCCACGCCATGAACCTGGAAGGCACGATGCCAAGTGAAATAAGCCAGTCACGGAAGAGAAAGGTTGCAGAGTTCCACTCAGAGGAAATACTTGAGTAGTAAAATTGGGAGAATAGGACGGGGGTTGCCACCGACCAGTGGGAGGGGGAATGGGGAGTTACCGTTTAATAGACACACTTTTGCAAGATGAAAAACGGTGGGAAATGGGACGTGGCAATGGATGCCCACTAACGTCAATGTTCTGAATGCCACTGAACTCACTTAGAAATGGTGAAAATGGTACATTTTGTTACGTATATTTTACCATAGATTAAAAAAAAGAAACCCAAACGACTCCACTCAAGCCTTGTAGCCCTCATGTTTCTGGGGGAGAAACTCTGGGAGAGGATAAGCCTTTTGCACAGCGCTTTCCAGAGAATGCGTACAAGAGGCAGGCTCAGGCAGAGAAGGTGCGCCGGGCGGGCTAGCTGACCCGAAAAGGCAGATCCACTTCGTTACAAGGTTCACTTTCCTCAGGGCTCTCCCGCTAGGAGTGAGCATTCTTTCGTCACAGGAACGCCTTGAGATTCTCCTTTCCTTTCACAACGCCCTCCCTGTCAAAGACGTCCCTAACGTTGGGAGTTCCCTGCCTGCCCACTCCTTTTTCTCCTGAGCCGCATGCCGCATCCCTCAGAACCCGGTTCCCTAAGATTGCGCGATCTTCCACGTTGGGTCCCGGCCACTGCCACACTAAGTCTGCAGCCCGGACCACCCCTCCACCCCCAGCAAAGAGCGCGAGAACGTGTGGGCGGGCGGGGTCGTCCTCAAGTGCCCCGGAAGTCACCGCCCCCTGCCGCCGGCGGAGGCGCCCGGGCGGGCCGCGCGGCTTGGATTGGCTAGAAGTTGGGATGATGCGTTACGTGCGGCGATGCGTCCCCCTCCCCACCGCTCCTGCGCGCGGTTAGCGTGGGGCGGGGCGGAGCGTGCGGCCCTGGGCGGCCATTACCCGGAACAGACCCAGGCCTCGGGTCCCGTGACCCTCGGCGGGGCTGGCGGGAGGGGGCGGGGGAGGGAAGAGGGCGTGAGGAGGGAGGAGAGAGAAGGGCGGAGTAGGAGGGAGGGAAAGGGGGGCGGGGTGGAAGCGGGTCACGTGATCCACCATGGAGGCGGTGGCGGCGACCGGGAGGAGCCGCCGGGGCAGAAGCCGCACTTGTTAGTGTGGGGGGAGGTGGGGGTGGGGGACGCCGACACCGTCACCCAGGGACGCCGAGGAGAAGGCGGGAGGGGGGTGGGGGCGAGATCAGGCTCCGACCCCCGGCCGAGGGGATGTGGGGAGCATGGGCGCCAAGGAGTCACGGATCGGATTCCTCAGCTACGAGGAGGCGCTGAGGAGAGGTGAGGGGGGAGGGGTCTGGGCGAGCTGCCTGGGAGGCCGGCGATGGGCAGCCCGGAGGGTGGGTGACCAGGAAGGAGAGGGGAGGTTGAGGGCGTGGGGCGCCTGAGGCGGAAGGGAAAGGCGGCAGACCACGGGGAGTGTGATGGGGGAGAGAGATCGGGTGGGAAGCAGCGTTTGGGAATTAGGACCGTATGGAAAGGGGCGAAGCTTGCCCTGAGAGAGGGGGATCTGGTGCTGGCAGGGCAGTGCCTATGCTCCCTGGTGGCGTTGTTATCTTGGATGTGTCCAGAGAAGTCCTCTCCCCGTTTTCTTGGGCGGCTCCAGCCCTTTCAGCCCCCCTCATCCTTCACTGCCATTTTTCTCCTATCATTCCTTCATAAAAACCTCCAACAACATCTTAACTGCGTTCCTAACAGCTTTAGCTGGAAGGGGGCGAGGAGGCGGCTGCAAAGCGCTTCTTTCTGCTACTGGAAGCCCCTTCCTATGTGGGGAGTCCTTGCCTTTTCCGAGGGCCTATGCCAGTCTCTTGGGGACTGTGGCTGTTCACTCCTGCCACCCTTCACCGTTTGAGCAGCTGACTTTGATAACAACGACCTGAAATGAAGTTGTGTTTGAGGTGAGATGAAACTGGACAGCTGGCTTTGCCACCAGACCTTGTGTTAGGTTTCATCTCCTCCGACGTTGACCAGAGCCTTTGACTGCAGTTGATTCCCAGTTCTCGTTCCATCCCTCTCCATGAAATGGCACTGGGAAGTCCAGCATTCAGATATTGTATCAAAGCTCCCTTTAGAGACTGGTCTAGCTGCCAGTCCCGGCCTGCTGCTTATTGGATGTGAGGCACAGTATATTGTTGGCAGCCCCAGCCCTCTGCGACTCACTGATACCTCTGTCCATGATCACTAAAGCACACGTTAACTGGAAGTGTCTGTTGCATAGTTTATGGCCGGAATGTCTTAATTTTTCATGACTGGGATTTCAGTGTGTGTAGATCTGTGCATGCTTTTATTTCTTTTAGACATTTAATGGATATTCTTGGTAAGAAGTAAAAAAGCATTAAGAAGATTAGGAGCTAGGTATTATGTTAACAGGTTTCCAAGTCAAGAAATCAGCCATGCCCCAGGTGGTTTTTTAGTAGCTAAGGATATAAAATGAAAATTATATTAAAAGACGGGTATTCAAAATGAGGCAGGAGAAGTGAACTCTTGTTCGTATATAGGAAGAAGAGGGATAAGTTCAGTTGGCCATCACCTGACAGTAAGATACAGAATTTAGATGTATAGGTGGTGGTGGATTTACCAGAATAACACAAATATGCCTTTTATGTCTGTCTTTTTTTCCCACCCCTGTGGAACAGTATAATGATTGTTTTTATGGACAATCTCACTTGAACTTTTTTTCTCTGCCCCAATATGAGAAATATTCCAAATTCTTGATGTGTTTCCAGCCCTAGTAGGCTAGTCATTTCCGGGATGCTGTTGAGCCTGACAGGTCTGGCCTCAATTAGGCAATGGCTCTCTACAAGGCGTGAAAGAGGACATTAGTCAAACTGATTTACAGCTGCAAGGTTTAGAAGTGTTTCTTAAGTTTGAGGGTGTGAATACCAGTGATGTACCTGGCATTGGAAATTCTAAAATTAAACTTTTATCCAACTCTAGCCTGTTTAATCTCTTATCAAACTAAGATTGTACGTTTGTAAATACAAATGAAGTTAATTGCATTTTAAACTGATCTGACTGGAACGTTTTTGTTCAGTTTCTTATACAGTGTCTGGCTGTTGAATTTCAAAACATATTTGAAGAGGTAGTGAAATATTTGTTAGGAGCTTATTTGTAACTATTGGAATGAATTTACATTTTACCAGTTTGCTTTAGAGGAAAATTAAAGCAAAAGAGAACAGCAGGTTGATAAAATTGTATTTCTAAATGTAAAACAGAAGCCCCCTTTCTTTGATAGCTCTTTAAACATGCTACTGTTTAGTAAATGTCAGACTGTAATATAGAATTTAAGTAAGATTACAGAAAGAGTTTATGAAGCTTCTGATAGAGCTAAAAGTGGCTTGGAACCTCTTGGGCGCTTAAGTAATTGCTAAAACCTGCATCCATTGGTTTCATTTACTTGTTTATATTGTATAAAATGAATGGGGGTAGGGGTAGATAGGATTTGACAAACACTCATTAGTTCAGTGTGTGCAAAACGATAAAACTTCTGAAATACTTGTCTCCTTGGCTTTACTTAAAATTGTTGAACACTAAATAATGCCTAGCTCTAATTAAGGTAGTATTAAAAAAATAGGCATATGTTACCATATACAAACATGGAATTGCAGGCAGTTTACCTTGCAAAGTGGGGCCTTGGAAACGAAGTGTTAATGTTAATGACAGATAACACTTACTGGACCTGAGTGGAAGGGCAGTCTCGTGACTTCAGTTATATTTGAGAAGCACCTAGAAATTAGGAAGATTGATTTTTGCACACTCTTTTAGCTAGACTGTCAATTGTCTAAACCTTAATATTTTCTGAAAGTGTGCATTTAAACACTTAAGGAGATGTATTGGTGGTAGTTCCTATTTTTTGTCTTGAATCTTTCTTAAATTTCTTGAGTAGAATACAAGGAAAGCCTTGACTCTTGTTTATATTGCATGTGTTTTCTAAGGAAGTTTACCTGTTGTATTTCATGGATACCGGAAATTTGAGCAGCATGTTCATCTTGTTTTCACCTCGTTGTTGCATCTAAGTTTGTGGCTTGTGTATTCTTAAAAATATATTTTAAATGCTTGGAATACGACATTCAAAAAACATTCAGTGAAAGATAAGTTGCATTTTAGATTGTTTTAGAACTGTAAGACATCTTAAAAATCTTTACCAGGCTAGGTGCGGTGGCTCACGCCTGCAATCCCAGCACTTTGGGAGGCTGAGGCAGGTGGATCATGAGGTCAGGAGTTCGAGACCAGCCTGGCCAATATGGTGAAACCCTATGTCTACGAAAAATTAGCTGGGCGTGGTGGCTCATGTCTGTAGTTCCAGCTGCTTGAGAGGCTGAGACAGGAGATTCGCTTGAACCTGGGAGGCGGAGGTTGCAGTGGGCTGAGATCATACCACTGCACTCCATCCTAGGCAACAGAGCAAGACTCCAGTTTTTTAATTCTGTCTTCTCTGCTCCTCTCTGCCTCCTTTCATCTTTCTGGAAACAAGATTGTAAGGTGATGTGTGTGTGTGTGTGTGTGTGTGTGTGTGTGTGTATGTGTGTGTGTAAGAATTGGCTGAATTAAAATGATTCTTAACTTTTAAATTGTAGTGATAAAATATAGTGGGTTTTAAATTGTAGTAGTAAAATATAGTGGGTGAATTTCTTCTAATCCCTTTCTTTAAAGTCTGGCATTTATATGCACTAAGTAGCTGGATGATGAACTATGGTGTGTCAGAAAGTTAGGTTATGGATTCACATTTTTAAATGTCCTTTTGCTCATTAATTCAGCAGATTTTTACAAATGGCTGGCTATGAATTAGGCACTAAGGAAATGGATAACCAAGACCCCTCTCTCTAGGATCATATAGCTTGAGTCAGTGATCTCCACTAAGTGTATGTAGACAGTCCCCAACTTGCGATTTGACTTTACGATGGTGCCAAATCTATAGCTTTCAGTAGAATCCATATTTCGGGACAGTATTCAATAAATTACATGAGATTTTCAACACATTATTGTGTTCGATTATTTTGTCCAACAGCATTACTATTTTAAGTGTTCTAAGCATGTTTAAGCTAGGCTAAGTTATGATGTTCAGTAAATTTGGTGTATTAAATACATTTTTGATTTAATGATATTTTCAACTTATGATGGGTTTATTGGGAGGTAATCTCATTGTAAGTCAAGGAATGTCTATTTGTATCAAAGAATGTAAGCCTATTCATAGAGAATAGGAATAAAATATTAGAAATTCTGTTTATAGTTCTAACTTGTGTATTTTTAGTAATGCACATAATATGTTCAAAAGTAGTATTTATTATTAAAAGTAGCATGTTATTTATAAATGATTAGCTTATGGTATATTAAATGCTGCAGTGCTATAAGACAAAGTGCTATGGAAATAGTAAGTGCCTCTAGCACTGTGCTCATTTTATAGTATGCTCAATAATTGTGTGTTAAAGAATTTAATTTCCTAGTCACTTATAGGTTATTGTGTTTGCTAGTGGAATAATTAAGCATGCAACAGTTGGCAATTCTAGTTCTTTTCATCTTGCTTATCCATCAAATCTAAGGTACTTTAAAACATTGACTCCCAACTAAGATTTTGTTCACCAATTTCTCGGTATTGATCTTAAAATTTCATTAGATTTATACTACCTATGATGTGATGTTAACTGGTTTAGCATAGCGTATCATTCTATACACGGAAATTGAATTTCACAGTCAGTACCTTCTGGAATGCAGTATTTATCTCCCTTATTGAAGCACACTTGTTTGCCTTCCTATGAATTTGTAAAATTCACCAGTGAACTTTCTAGCATTAGTTTGGAATTGTCACTTTCGGTTAAGCCTTTCAAAAGTGTTCCTAGCCGGATCTTACTATTTGTAAAGGAGAAAAATGGGGCAGTTTTAAATTAGTCTGCTTATATGTAGTCACCTGAGAGGTTGCAAAGGTGCTGTTTTCACTAATCTCACTGTTTCACTAATTTCACTGTTTTCACCTCACTAATCTTCAGTTCATAAGTTTGACATGTCACTGACAAAGAGGAGCTAAATATATTGATGAACCCCGGATTTTGGGCGATGAGCAAAATGAGGTGATGTCACTTGTTGGTTAGTGAGCTCCCCATTTACCAAACTGGACAGCTGCTGTTTGTTTTTTTCTTGTTCATTGTCTCCCTTTGTGCTTAGTGAGACTTTACAGTGACAGCACTCAGGGTTGCCTTCCAGAAAGATGTGTAAGTAAGTTAGAGATGGGTTGGTGATGCCCAACCAATAGCCAGCCATATTTTCTCAGGATGAGAAAAGGAAGA